CCCGCAGCCGCGCCTCCCGCCCGCGCCTCCTCCCGCCCTCGCCGCGCCGCTCGCAGCCGCAGCCCCCGGAGCCGGAGGATTATGAGCGAGCCATGAGGCGGCTGCGGCGCTGGGCGTTCGCGGCGCTGCTGCTGCTGCTGCCGCTGCTCCCCCCGCCCGGTGAGTGCCCCCGGCCCCGGCCCCCGCGCCCTCCCTGCCCCCGCCCCGGGTTTTGCGGCGCTTTCTGCTGCAGCCACATTTTCCTGCAGTGCTCGGGGTGACAGCCTGTCCGATCGCGGGGGGGGGGGGGGGGGGGGGGGGGGGGGGGGGGGGGGACGGAGGGCGCGTGCACCCACCTGTCCCCATCTGGCCCGCCCCACCGCGGCCAGCCCCCTGCCGCCGGCCAACGGACTCTGCAGGTCTCTGCGGGTGAGGGGGGGCAGTCGTGACAGGCGGGCGGGAGGAAAGCTCCTGGCCCCCTCCCCATCAGGCTCTTCCTCTGCAGGGGACCAGATCCGCCCAGCTCCAAGGGGCACACCAGAGTGGGGGATGAAGTGTGCTCACCCCAGTCCCAAGTCTCCTGCCCCTCAGTGGGCATCCGCCTGCAGCTATGGCCTTGTCTCCTCAGGTCTTGGGACCCGGGGTCCTGTCGGAGCTCTGCACTGGCGGGTCTCACCCCAGTTGGGGAGTCCGGAAGCCCCTGAGGTCACAGAGCCCAGTCGTCTGGTGGGGGAGAGCTCCGGAGGAGAGGTCCGAAAGCAGCAGTTGGACACCAGGGTCCGCCAGGAGCCACCAGGGGGCCCGGTGAGTGGCCCTGGGTGTGAGGCCAGGGGTCTGGAGCAGGCCTGGAACCCAAGGAAGGCCACCAGGCAGCCAGGGTTTGGGCACCTCCCCAAGAAGCCGGCTCCCGCAGCTTCTCCTTCTGTATAATGGGTGCTGGAGCCCACTAGTGGGGAGCACCCACCTGCCTCACTCCAGGCCCCCTCCAATCATCATGGGGATCCCCTGTCCTCCGTGGACCCTGGAATGCCCAGGGTACAGTCCAGCCTTGGGTCAGGGTTCCACCAGCCCCCACTCCTCTCCTGCCAAAGCAAGTGGTTCTACACCAAATTGGGCTTGGGCAAGGCAGTAGGGGGCAGGGAGAAGCAGCTAAGAGCTCCATCAAGGATTAGGGCTCCTGTTTCTCATCACAGCCACCCTCAGTGGGCTTTCTTGGAACAGCTCAGTGCTTGATCCTGCCTCAGTTTCCCCTCTGTGCACTGATAGGCTTGTCATTCTCTTTCCTGTCCTCGCCCGAGGGTGGGGCCTTGGGAAAAGGCTTGGAGGTCCTAAGCTCACCCACAAATGCCAGCTCCACCCGCCCTCTGTCCCTTTCAGCTGCCAGGCCCCTCCTGCCTCCCAGAGGAAAGTTAGGAATGAAGGAGATTAATTGCAATTAATAATTAATTAATATCATGTGAATAATAATTACCCAGATGGAATATTCATTCAGCACGGCTTGGCTCTCCAGGAGCTGGAAGCGGAAAGTTAGCCAGGCCAACTGGGGGCGGCGGAGGGCAGGATGGCAAAGGCCTGGCGGAATTAGGAGGTGTAGAGGAGAGATTCAGAGGAGGGGTACAACCGTGGTCTGGGAAGTTTGGCAGCTGGGAGTGGTGGGAGGTAAATTGGGCTGGGCAGAGGGAGGAAGGAGGGAAACGGAGGCTAGCATTACAGACATCTGTCAGACTGGCATCTGGCCCTGCCTAATGTACTTGGTTAAAAGCCCTTAGGGGAGGTGGAGGGGTTTGTGGGGGGGAGGGGTGGGGGGATACTCGGGAAATGGAATAGAGCAGGAAGGCAGCATGCATAATAGATGGACCATCACTCAAGGCAGTGAGGAAGAGGGTGGTTAATGGTCCTGAGCAGGCAGGCCTGGGTGGGGGTGGGGTGGAGTGGGGGTGGAGCAGGGGTGAAAGAGAAGGGGTTGGAGGCTGCCTTCAGTGTCTGCCCAGGCTCCCTGGGGGTGGGCCGCAGGGATGGTTCCAAGGCCAGGGATGGGGTATCCTGGCTGGGTTTTGTCCCTGGTCCAGCTTTCATCCTTGATGTCACCCCCATCTGAGAACTGTGCACCCAAGCCTGTGTTGGCTAGGAGTTGACTGCTCAGCCTGACTACTGGGTATGCAGGCGACAGGGGAGTCTCTTTGGGTGTCGTTCTGCTGGCTGAGTGGGTGGCATGTGTGCATTTGTGATATGTGTGTGTGACCAAGTCTGAATATGCCCAACAGGGTGTCTGAGGGGGTGAGGTTAGGAGTGGAGGGTTCTGTGGATCTATGGGGCTGTGGTCACCTCCAATGGGGGTCTCTCTAGCATTGAGCCTTCCCAGAGACCTCCCTGCAGCCTCCCCAGGGGACGTAGTCATAGCCCTGCCTTATCTGTACCTCAGTCTCCCCTGGGGTAGAATTCTCACAACTCTATAAGGCAGGTAACTTTTGCCTGCCCATTTTACAGATGAGCAAACTGAGGCTCAGAGAAGTTGAGTAACTTGCTCAATCAGATCTTTTTTTTTTAATTTTTTTAATGTTTGTTTATTTTTGAGAGAGAGACAGACAGAGCACGAGCGGGGGAGGGGCAGAGAGAGAGGGAGACACAGAATCCGAAGCAGGGTCCAGGCTCTGAGCCATCAGCACAGAGCCCGATGCGGGCTTGAACTCACAAGCTGTGAGATCATGACCTGAGCCGAAGTCAGATGCCCAACAAACTGATCCACCCAGGTACCCCAGATCTTTTTTTTTTTATGTTTATTTATTTATTTTGAAAGAGAGAGAGAGGGAGAGAGCAAGGTAGCTCAAGCGGAGAATGGGCAGAGAGAGATGGAGAGGGAAAGAATCCCAAGCAGGCTCCATGTTCAGCACAGAGCATGATGCAGGACTTGATCCCACGACCCTGGGGTCATGACCTGAGCTAAAATTAAGAGTTGGACACTTGGGGCGCCTGGGTGGCTCAGTCGGTTGGGCATCCGACTTCAGCTCAGGTCATGATGTCACAGCTCGTGGGTTCGAGCCCCACATCGGGCTCTGTGCTGACGGCCCAGAGCCTGGAGCCCGCTTCGGATTCTGTGTCTCCCTCTCTCTCTGCCCCTCCCCCGCTCATGCTCTGTCTCTCTCCTTCAAAAATAAATAAACATTTAAAAAGTTAAAAAAAAAAAAAGAGTTGGACACTTAACCGACTGAGCCACCCAGGCGCCCCTCGAAGTCAACCAGATCTTTAAGCAGTGGAGTGATTCTCTCCCAGACCCGGTACTTCCCACCACAAGGACTCTCAAGTTCGGCACAGGGGCAATCCCACGTGTCCAAAATATTTCCCCCTGACTGGAAGGACACTTTGCAGCCCTCTACCTCCCACCTGGCATTTCTCCCTGAAGCACTTCTGGCCGCGGCACGTACGGGGCTGATGATGGAGCCCGTGCAGCACTGAGCCCATGTCCCAGCAGGAAGTGCCACACCCTGGCGCTGCTGGACTGAGTCCGAAATTATTGCGTTGGTTTGGAAACTCAGGCTGAGCAAGGTGTTGAGCCAGCAGCAAGATCTCTATTTGCTGCAGGTCATGTGGCGAGTCTGGGGGCACACACTGGCCAGCGGGGTGAGGATGATGGGGCTTTGTGTGCTCACCTGCTCTGGCCTCGGGCCAGTCATATCAACTGTCTGAGGCCTAGCTCCCTGAGCCCTAAAACCAGGATGATTTATGATAACATCAATCTCAGCATCACTCACCTCCAGAAGGTGGCGATAGGAAAGGGTTTTGTGTGCTGAGGGCTCCTGGTTTTTGTGGGGAATTGTGGGGGAGAGAGAAGGTAGCCAGGAAGGACTTTAGAAGCTAGAGATATTACAATTGCTGGGCCCTTACTGGGGCAGACACTGTTATGCCTTTAGATATATTGATTTTATGTAATGCTCATCACAGCCCTAGGAGATGGGGCTGTCGCTATTCCCATTTTACAGGTGGGGGGAGACAGGCACAGAGAAGTGAAATAACAAGCCCAAGTCACACAGCATTAAGTAGCAGAGTCAAGATTGATACACTTGGGCCGGCCTGCCTCTCTCTCAGGGGTATAGTGAAGAGGGCCACAGGGGTCCCTTTGCCCTCTTTGCCACTGATCTCAACACCTCACTTCTGTCCAGTTTGGAAGAAAGCTGGGCCTGAGGCCCAGAGAGGTGGGGGAGCTTCTGGAAGTGCAGAAACCTGTGGTCACAGGGAGCCTGAAGCTGAAGGATGAGGCAAAAGAATAAGCAGGGCCACCGTGTACAGTTGGGCTGGTTGTTCACTGCACAAGGGTGCCCCAACAAGTAGACTGAATGAAATCTGTGGGCTCATGAGGCTACATGTGTTCCAAAGGGACTCTTCTAAACCACACAGAGCTGCTGTGTGGGTCATGCCTGCCCCCTGGGGAAACCCAGACTCCTTCAGAACCAAGAAAAGGGCAGGATGTG